GTTTATAGAAAGCTGGATTGAGTCCATCAGGCCCCGGCGCCTTATCCGAATGCATTTGAAAAATTGCTGTTCTAAATTCCTCCACCTCGAAGGAAGCAGTCAGCATATTATTAGCCGCATTGTTAACACAAGGTTTAATAGTTTTGATCACAGGACCATATTCTGTATCACCCAAGGAGAAAATATCAGAAAAATATTCTTTGACAATACTGCACATTCCTTCTCTGGACGTTGACAACGAACCATCCGGCTTAGTCAGCATGCATATTTTATTTCTTTGTTTTCTACTTGTTGCTGCCGCATGGAAAAACTTAGTGTTCATGTCACCATCCCTCATCCAAAAAGACTTTGCCCGCTGTTTCCAGAATGCTTCTTCCTGAGCCAGTAACTTAGCCAACTCTTTTTTAAGTTTTTGTGCTTCTTCATATGCTTCTGGAGAATCATCTTCCATCACCCTTGTTAATTTGTCCCTGCACCCATCAATAGCTTCAGTCTGTTTCCTCCTCAGCCGGCGACCCCATGAATCAAGCTTTGCGGTGCACTTAGAGATTTTCTGAAGCAAGTCTTCACCAGAACTATCTGCCCAACTTACCTCCACCACGTTTGGTAGCTCCGGCTCTAAAAGCCAAGCATTTTCAAATTTAAAACTTCTCTTCCCATATTTTATGAATTTGGTTTCAGTAGAAAGTAAAATGGGTGAATGATCGGAATGGCAGGTACTAATATTATGAAGGTTACACGATGGAAAACGTTGCCACCAGTCCTTTGTAGCCATGGCCCTATCCAATCTCTCTTCAATAATATCTCCAGTGTGAAGTGAACGACCCCAAGTAAACGGCCGACCTTTTAAAGGTATGTCAACAAGTCCACATGCTATCACAGTGTCCCTAAAGCCACGTAGTAACCAGGCTGGATGATCAACCCATCCCCTTTTCTCATCTTGCGTCAAAATATCATTGAAATCGCCAACAATACACCATGGCAAGGTTGAAAGGCTAGCAAGTGACCTTAGGATTTCCCACGATTCTCTTCTCCTACTCCTATCCGGAACACCATAGAAGCCCGTAAGCCTCCAAGGATCTGAACCATCCTCTTTTATCAGCACATTAATAAAGTTTTTTGAATAGTTCACGAGGTCTACCATACTGGCTACCCTCCAAAGAATAGCTAAACCACCACTTTTGCCTTCTTTATCCACAGAAAAACACGCTTCAAAACCAATCAATCTTCGCACTTCTTCCACCCTAGTACTATAGCAAAGAGTCTCACAAAGAAAAATAATATCCGGTTTATGTCTCCGAACCAGGTCACGAAGTGCTGGAACTGCGCTCGGGTGACCCAATCCCCAGCAGTTCCAACTTAACAGAATCATTGGTCCTGGTGGGCCTGGTACCCAGGACCCACCCCAAAAAAATTTTTACTCGCCGATTGCTCATATTCCAGCTCCTGTGGCATGTCAACTCGCATTGGCGTCATTTGAGAATTACCTTCATCCCCATGGCGTTTCCGCTTTTTCTCTGCCGCTTCTTCGCTTTCTTCAGCCAAACCTTTTGAGACTTGCAATGAGTGGTGACTATGTCTCACCTCGCCTTCCAGTAGCATGCATTTATTTTCTAAATCCTTATGCAAGGTCTGATCTGTACTACTGCCCTCTGTTACACCTTGTTTAGTCCATTGCCCCCCTCTGTCTTCCCGTAACCATCTACATCCCCCAAGTGCCCCTGGTTTTCGGCGCTCTACTTTCAAATCAGAATTCCACCCTCGAAAACCATCGTCTTCTTCCATTTGATATAGCTTATCACACTGATTATCCAAATGACCCAACAATCCACACAAAAAGCAAAAAGTAGTAAGCCTTTCGTATTTAAAGCGAACAACCTGAGTTTGACCATCAGGAGGTTGAACTCTTTTTCCTCTTTTGAGCGGTATGCGGACGTCTAAAGTTACCCGCAGCCTCATATACTTGCGCCAAATACCTTCATTGTTCTTGGGGTCATACTCAACAAACTTACCAATAAAATTTCCCAGGCCAACTCCCACCGTCTCAGTCATTAATGTCATCGGAATGTCATGAACTTGGACCCAGAAGTCCACACAAAATAACGGAACTTGGGATGGAATAACAGCATCTCCCAATCGTGCCAGAATCAGAAGATGATTATCAAAATGCCATGGGCCGTGCAAACTTACATGCTGCATATCCAGTTTGTGGAAGAACTGAAAAAGAAATATACCTCTCTGAACTTCTGTAATCGCTACTCCTTCATGTGGTTCCCATAATGTGGCAAGTCGTTCCTTCATCATGTGAGTACGAATAGGTTTAGTGGTGAGAAACCGACCTACCAAGCAGAGATTGGCATCCCCTTGACGCACTTGGGGCCCCTCTGTCGAAAAGTTCAAAATTTCCTCCTCATCATCGCTGAGATGTAAATTCGCCATAATTGCTCTGTCCGACCGTGAACCAGATACTCCGGAATGGAAGGGATAGCAAAACGAGTCAATAAGTGTGTGAATTCAAATGCTGAATGATACTTCTCACGAAGGAGAGAAACCTAGCGACTTCTCACGAAGGAGAGAAACTTAGCCAATGCATGAGTTAAGTTTGTGTTTTTCATAACTTAACATATGTATTGTAAAAGTAGTTCTAAAGGAGAATATGTACCAAGTAAATGAGTTAGTCTAGCAGTTTGGGACTTATGTTTTATATTTTATGTCACGAGTTCAATTCCCCCCACCCACATTTTTTATAACATTTTTAGCACACATATATCAGATGATGATGTGGGAGAGACAATGGATGACGTGGAATATGTGACGTGGCCGTCTTGCTGACCAGACATAGGTGAGCATGGCAATTGTGCTGACATGGTGGATGACAAGGCAAAAGTATCATTATTTGGGAAATAAGCTTAAAACTAGGGTTTTTACAAGAATATTACTAAAATAACACATATTTACATAAATATAACTATTCATTACTACAATGTAGTATTGTGGTAACTAAAGCTCAAAACTTAAACATGAATTACTATGATTTCATTACTACTCTAGTCACTAATCATAGTTTTGTAAATCATCTTTATTTTGGTCATATTTATGTAATTATTTCTTAAACTACCCCGTTTTGGGAAATAAGATTGAAAACTACCTTTATTCGGGGAAAAACTCCTGAAAAATGGCAATCAAGAATCGGGATATTCATTTGGGCAACCAAGAATCTGGTAAATTTTTGGGAAAATGCAAATTTTACGTGATTAAAAGTGATATTTTGTTTCTTTCCATATTTATATATCCAGTAATTACTAACGAAAAAGTGAAAATAATAATTCTAGCTATTGTCGATCCACAAATAATAATCTGAACTGTTAATTATTTCTATATAATCCCAATTATATGACTTGTCCGCCAATAATGGTCCCTGATCGGATATAATCTGTTGTGGCATGTCACTTTTAAATAGAAACTACACATTCTATAAATAATATGAGTGAGGCTCGTTCTTCTTTTAATAATATATCCCAATCAGTAACTATTTTGTTCTACAAAAAGTAGAAAAATTTATAGGGAAAAGTAGCAAATCAGCCCTCGAATTAACATCAATAGTGCAAATCACCTCTTATATGGGAGGCTCTGTCCGGCCGTCACCATTTGGGACGGTTTCCGGTGGAATTTTTGATGATTTTTTTTGTGAAATAATTACATAAATATGACCAAAATAAAGATTGTTTACAAAAATATGATTAGTTACTAGAATAGTAATGAAATCATAGTAATTCATGTTCAAATTTTGAAATTAAGTTACCACAATACTACGTTGTAGTAATGAATAGTCATATTAATGTAAATAAGTTTTATTTTAGTAATATTCTTGTAAAAAGCATCTTTTTCATTAAGTCCAGTTTACTCATATTAAATTTCAGTTTAAATTCAATCGGGAATTGAAGGCAGTCGAATGAATTTGTGAAGATAATTGCGCAGTTAAACGGCGCAGTATATTTCAGAAAACCATTTTACTGCCCTTCCGGTTGAATTTTTATCTGAAATTTGATACTTTTCCCAAGTTTAGAAAAAGTTCAAAATTAGGATTTTTATATATGTAAATTCAATTAAATCTAAAATCATACCACAAATCAAAAAATAATAATATTATATTTTGTTTCATATTTTTATTTTTTAGAAAAACCTATTTTGTTTTATTTTTTGAGAAATAATCATGTTGGCTTGATGCGCAAATTCATATTTTGTACTAAAATAATTTTAAAATGATTATTTTTATCAATACAAAACAATTTATTTACCTTCAAAAAAACTCATTTTAATTAGGATGATTAGCTTTTAATTTTTTTTTAAATATTTACAAAGGGTTGTTAACTTTGTCTTTTGAACTTTCTGAATTTTATTATAAACGTACGGGTATCCTTTCATTTTTTTATCTTTGAATTTGTACTTGATTTTCACTTTCATATTTCCTAGAAAGTTTTTCTATGGGCATTTTGTACTCTCTTTATTTATATATTTTATATTCTGTATATATTTATAATATCTTAGATATTACGGAGTATAAAATTTTTATTTTGAAATTCTTATAAGTTTTTTAATATTTATATATATATATTACACTCAAATACTTCCTTTTTAAATGGCTATTCATTTTTAATGATCACTTGAGACCACTATTAGTAGAAGAGCACTAAAGTTGGGATTATTTTGAAGTAGTGTTAGTTGTGATTATTAGTATCAATTTTTTCTACTATTAAGTATGTCTAGTGATATCACACACTTAATGTTTTCTTTTGGACTGAAACTTGCTGATCTGGTCTGGTTTGGTCTGGTAAACGTCCAGTCTCTGTGTATTTTATAACTACAAAAGTCTAGTCTGGTTTGGTCTGGTCTGGTCTGGGACTGAAAACAATCCAAAAGAAAACATCCTTAATCACCGTACGGCATAGCTCACGCAACCAATGATAAGCTACCATAATACACCGAGTGTTAACAATATGAGCAACTTGTTGGTAAGCTAGCTAGAACATAAACTTCACTACTTTCTTTAATAGATGTTACTAGTAATAATTACGTACTCCGTAAAAGAGAAAATTCTTATATAGGATTAAACATAAACAAAGTGCACAGTTGCACATATAGGATTTATTCACTCTGATCTTAATAGGAGTAGTTTTATACTTTTAATAGGATTAAATATGTTCTATTTCGGAAATAAAATGCTTGTAGTCCTATTAGTAGTGCATTTTGTCTAAGTTTGAGTCTATTTATCAGAACAATTTCTATAACTGAAAAAGGAAGGACTATGTCCATGCGACCATGCATATGCGCGCACACACACATATGGGCCGGGCCGGGTCGGTTATCGAATCATGCATATATTTAATAAGATTGTTAATAATTATGATGGAACATCATTCATCAATTATATGGATAATGGATTCATCGTCAATTATTCTTAGGAGGGTGTGGCCTGGGCATATGATAATCGGCAGTGAAATCCAGTGATGAACTGGGTGTTGCTGCTGCATGGCTATCATGATCAGTAGTATGCAGTGATGATGAATGAGCGGCAATATGAATGGGATCTTTTGCATTATGTTGACCCTGCCTCCTCCTCCTCCGTTTCTTTCCTCCTGTTCTCCTCCCCATTATCTTCCTTCCTTCCATTTTCGCCCTCCGATGCTCCTCGCCGCTGCCCTTCACCAACGCCTGCATGCATGCAATTCCATTACAATTTTATCTATTTACTCCGTATTATTTATGAAAATAACTGAGTTTTTAATATATATTTCGGCGCAATTATCTTCTAAAACTTACTCCGTATTTAACTGACTTTCCGATTGAATGCTTAGTTGAAAATTTGTGGACATAATCTACACTTCATGGAGAACATGTTCACAAATTTTTATCAAAAAATTACACCGGGAACCACCTCAAATCGAGGTGGCCGGATGACGCTGCGGTCAGGTAATACTATACTTATGTGCATTATTAGTTACAAGTATAACATAAGTGGAATTAGGCATTTTTAAAACCATGAGAGGCTAATGTGCCATATTTTATATCATGGGGGGTTTGGAATATCGGACATGAAACCGGATAGTATGAAACAACTTTAGAATGAAAGTGAGATCTGAAAACTTGAGAAGGGAACCAAAGTTGTAATAGCCCATAATATAGAGACATCTTTGTAATTAATTGACTCTTGATTTATTATAAATACATCACTAGCACACCCTATTAGGGTGAGCAATTATTCCACAATTACAATTTGACTAATTACAATTTGATTCCCACTTCAATGATCATGAGTAGTGAGTACTACTATTACGTACAGGTAGCATCAAACAACAACAAAAGATAAGATAAATATGTGCATGTAATATATATATACCTTGTGTTCGAGGAGGATAGCAGCGCCTCCTCTTCTCATCATCGTAAACCCATTATGACCATCTTCGACCAATTCCGAACGGCCCATTTTTGTACCTGTAAAGTTTAAGAAGGTGAGAAGAAGAAAAGAAGTAGAAAGAGCATGCTATGCTTTAATGTGCAGTGTTATCGATCATTTATATTATTATAATAATATTGCTTATAAGATTAGAAGATCTACATACCTTGGTTAGTAAAAGCAAGAGACCAGTTTAAGGACATGGATATGGAGACAAATAAAAACACAAAGGCGGAAGACCTAGAGGGCACCATTTTCGGCTTTCTTTTCTGTGATGGGTATGTAGAAAGGAGAGCGAGGGGATATGATGACATGGAGACAGGATCGGATGAAATTTATAGAAACACTTTGATGTCAATGGATCAAATCCCAAGTCAAAGCTAGCTAGGGACTAGGGTTTGAGTGATTTATTTATTTAATTTAATAGTTACTTTGTATTTTCGTATTTTTAAATGTTCACCAAATTGATTTTTCTCGATCAACGACAATCAACTTTGATCAATTATACATTTTAATACGAAATTATTTTGAATATGAAAGTTATATCAAAATGTTTCTTATTCAAAACATTTTCATAAAAGTATAAAATTTATAGTTATATATAAATATAATAATTAAAAACATTATCCAAAATTTGTCACCATTGATCAAGAGAAGTCAATATGGCGAACCTTTTCGAGACGAAGGTAGAATAAAAATTGCTCTTGACTAAAATATAAAAGTGCATATATTGTATTATCATATTCACTAAAAAACACGGAATTAGCAGAATTTTTTTGCAGGGATCGGATTCGCCAAATTTCATAGCGAGGATTTGGCATGGATATGTCAAATCCGTACGCACTTTGCACGAGCTATTTGACATGAAATATCGGCAAATTCACGTCAATTATCTCGTAATTTTTTTGTAGTGAATAAGGATGTTTTTACTTGGACTGTAATTTGCTGGTCTGGTGTGGTCTCATCTATTTAAGTCTGGTCTGATCTGGTCTGGTCTGGTCTGATAAACGTTTGGTCTCTATGTACATATTTTATAACTACGGAAATCAAGTTTGGTCTGGTCTATTTAAGTCTGATCTGGTCCGGTCTGATCTGATCTGGTCTAATTTGTTAAAGTCTGGTTTGGAACTGATAACAGTCCAAGAAAAAACATCATAAAACTTATTTGATTCTACGAAGTATTAAAAATGTAAAACTTCTTCATTAAGGTTCGTTCATTCCCTATGTTTTAATCCTAATTAAGGCATTTAACTAGTTGGATTATACTACCGGCCTCCGTCCCAATTTACTTAGCCAACTTTGACTTTTCCAGTCAAAGATGGTAAACTTTGACCAATTATTTTGACTAATATCTTTATGCAAAATTTAATAATTTTATACTTTTATGATAGTATTTTTAACAAAGAACATTTTCATACCATTTTCATATTATCAATATTTTCTCTATATAAACATATATATAGTCGGTCAAAGTTAGACGTCATTGACTTGAAAAGTCAGTTTTGGCTAAGTAAATTGGGACATGGCTCAGATTTTAGTAGATCAAAAAATCTATTGGTACACATTTTTCATACACACTCATGTTTGTGAAGAGTATTTTTTTGTTGACATGAATGAATACACAGTTGAGTACTGAGCTCGAACTTCCCGAAGTGGAATAAATACAGTTGAGGGGCAATTCAAGTTCCGATATTAAAAAATGTCGCGCCTTTGTGAAGAGGCGTAGAAGAGAAGGTACGCCTGTTTCCTCCGTGTCTGCTGCCTTGCACCATATGCATGTAAGTTCGTAACCAACAATATTGTTTATTTGTGTATGCCCCTACTTCACATTTTTTTTTTTGCTATTGAGCATATTTTCAGGTATCTTCAGGGCTATCTTCATACCTTACAGGCCTATTCTGATGTTGATTGGACTGGTTGTCCTGATAGCAAGGCTGTCTAATAAATTTGGAGGCCCTGGTTTAAAATCTAAAAACGGGGCCCCACATTAATATAAAAAGTTATAAAAAACCCTCAATCTAAATACTTATATACTCAAATCAATTGAATATTGATTAAAAGATAACTAAAAGGGTAAAAGGACCAACAAAAAAATGATGGATTTATATTTTTCTTCCTTACTAGGTAACTATATTTTAGTGATTAGTATTAATATATAATATTACTATATAATATTAATAAAATTTTAAAAAATTGGGGCCCCGCAAATTTGGGGGCCCTGTTCTGGATAACCTATTGAACTCCCTAAAAACGGCCCTGCCTGATAGTAGTCAGTCTTCTTCTAGTTTTGCTATATTTTTGGGCCCTAATTTAGTCTCTTGGAAGTCCAAGAAGCAGCTCATTGTCTGTCTCTCGTTCTTCCACAAAAGTTGAATATCGGGCTATTGCTTACGCAGTTAGGACACTCTTCATATCCACTTCATCCTATTCGAATTGGGCATTCCCATTTGCCAGTCAGTCAAGCTCGTGTGACAATATTTTGGCCTCATACTTGTCCACAGATCCTATTCAGTATGCTCGGAGCAAGCACATCAGCATTGATTATCATTTTGTTCGTGAGAGGGTTTCACATGGAGACCTGGTTGTTCGCTATTTTCCTACACATTTTCAACTTGCAGATATTTTTACCAAATGTTTGTCTCCGGGGTATTTTATATTTCTTAGAGACAATTTGCACATTGTTTCCCCTGCACAGATTGAGGGGTGTAATCGTGTAATTAATACTTTAATTAGGTTTCTATATCTACTAGGTTTCCTATTGTATTCAGATCATTATTAGTATATATATGACACCTGCGAGTACCAATTTTGATAAGCCGTTTGTTATTCTCACATCTTGCACCATATGCATGTAAGTTCGCAACCAACAATATTGTTTATTAAATGAGAACAAACTATAAACGTACTGTGTATATACATGAGTATATATGGGTATGTTTGGCACAACTAGCTAAAAAGATACTTTTACGAGCTTTTTAGTAACTGTTAGCTTTAAGTGACTGAAAAGATCTTAAAAAGAAAAGGTGATAGTTGTTTGGTAAAAAAGCTGACTGTTTGATTTGGTTCGATTTGGAATACAAGCTGCTAGGACTAATTAATACTAAAAGTCACGAGCTTTTCTCAGATGCTACAGTCGTCGGTAGCTTCTCAAAAAAGATCTTTTAATTTTTGAAAAGCTCTTAAAAAATTTCATGTCAACCATACAACTAGAGTCTTTTAAGGTCTTTATAAAGAATAGAGAAGCTACAAGCTAGACCCTCAACAATTTTCAAAGGAGGTGGGGATGAACTTGTATCGAGTGTAATCTGGTTCTATCTTATTAATTCAAGAGTTCATATTGAGAAATTTATTACTAATAAATGGGTTATGGCCGGATTAAAAAGTGACATTTTTTTTAGTTTCTAAAAATGTGATTAAGAGATTGTTATTCCCTTATACTAATATAAATTCGCTCATTGGTGTTGCAGAAATGATCAATGACATCATAGTGACCAAATATCAATCGAATCATCTCCATGTTCACAGTAACCACCACCCCTGTACCACAGTGACAAATTTCAAGTGATAGTTACATCATCTTTCAGTCACCAAAGTCATCGCCGGTTAGGATTGGGTCCGAAAAACCGAAAACCAAGTCAAATTAAACCGATCGAGCCACAATCAAATAAAATCGAATTGCTTAAAAACCAAAACTGAATGTAAAAAAACTGAACCGAACTGTAGTTGTTTGGTTTCTACCCTTCAAAATCGAACTGAACTGAACAAGCCGAACTAATTAAAATATATATGAAATTTTTTTTGTTAATTTTTAAGCATTAATCCTAATCAATCCTAATATCATCAATAGCCTTTGGTTTTCTTGTGCTAAAGAAATAATGTTTGTGTTATGTTTAATTTAGTTTAGTTTAGTTTAGTTTAATTAGTTTATAAATGTATGTACACATTCATTGCCTATAATAATGTAGCTATATGTAGCCTTTAGTTTAGTTTCCTTGGGTAAATGACACGATTTTTAGTCAAGTGGTTAAATAAAATATAATGAGTAGGAAAGAGAAATTTGAGTAAAGGTTTAATTAAAGACACTTGTGATTCCCTAAAGATAAGACTTTCATGTTTTTATTCCCTAAATAGAAGTCACTTCTGCCAAGTTTGGAAAAAGATGTCATGTTTAAAGCTTGGCAATGCCAAACTTGGCAGAAATTATTCCTATTTAGAGAATAAAAACATGACAGTCTTATTGTAGGTTTCCCACCAAAATTATAAATTGTAAGGAATAAATTGTATTTAGATTTTGATGATGCTGGACTAATTAGGAAATTAGAGCAGTATCCCTTTAGAAAATTGTAATAGAAATTTTCAAGTGTAAGCACTAGTATATTCGACTGGACAGAAGACCCCAGGTCCTCTGTTAGCCTGGTTGGACAGAACTGCTACCTCACTCTGTGGACTTGGCTGCATTCTCCAGAAGGTCCACCAGAAGCCCTCACACCTAGAGATTTCAGCTCTTGCTACCTCAGCTGTTAGACTGATGGGAAATTCTCCAACGGCTAGAAGCCTCTCAACGTAAAAGCTACAGGACGAGCATTTAATGCTCATTTAATAAGCTCCGCTCGTTGGGATATTTAAAGCTGATGATTGACCAGAGATCCAGACGAATATTATTTAATACGCCCCAAAATAGCAAGTCGTCTAATTTTGGAACCAACCGGTCAAATCAACAGTACAAGCATTTAATGAAGTTGTCTTCTACACTCCAACGGGAAGGCATCTCTCATTATATATGATACACTTTGAAGCAACTGGCCGGATAACTTTCTACACTCTAACATTTGAATTCAAACAAAAAACCCTCTCAAGAACTCAGGTTTCTCATCCTCCCTACGAGAACAAGTTTGAAGTTGGGAAGATAATATTTTCAGATCTTTCAACACCCAACTCATAGAAAGTTCTTCCAGTACTTCATTACTTCATGAACTTCATCTACATATCTTCTTTGAAGCTCGTTGGAGAAAAACCTTTTGTTCATCAAAAGATCTTCTTGTTTAAGAAGGACGTCTTAAAGTAACTGGAGTAATGAAGTGGGGATGCTTCAAGAAACTCAGTGAAACAAGGCCAATCATCAGGAAGCTAGGAAGAGCATCCCGGGTGACAACTAAACTTGAAGAAGACGAGGAGTGCTTCTTAAGTGCTAGGAACTAAGGCGTTGTAATCTGCGTTTTTTTTTTACGAAATAAAAATTTTATTAGAAAAGGAGAAAATAAAGTACACAAGGAGGAAAAAACAAGAGAAAAAAAGAAACGTAAATTAAAGAAAGCAATAATCCAACCCAAATGACATACAAGGATAATCACCCAAGACTCCAAGAGACCCAAAT